GCTCGGCCCCCTAGCCTGTACTAGCCGCAGCGCTCGGCCCAGAAAGTGTCTTAACCTAACCTAACCCTAAATACATACTAATTTAATTGAAAATTGTTAAAAAAGTGGTCATGTACAAAATTGATAGAATGGGGGGTCCAAAAATCGTTCTCTTGGATGGACCCATCTTTATAAGAATAAAGTCATTAAAGAAACGTTATGTTTCACTTATTGTCGCCAGCTGTAATTAGCTTGGCCCTTGGAGTAAAAAAGACAAGATATAAAATTGATGTTTACATATTTCTAATTTTTTAACATTTCAGAGAACATGAGTAAACGAAAGAGTTTAGAAATTCTGAAGTTTTTTAACCTAAAATTTGGAAAAACAATACTGAAGATGATGACTCTGGAGCATGGGTTAATTTTTCTGTTGATAGTTCCAGTACAACAGGAAGCAGGACCAGCAGCTGTGCTGATGTTGAGAGTTGTACAGTTAAACCCAGCAGCTGTGCTGATGCTCAGAGTTGTACAGGAAGGACCAGTAGCAGTGCTTATGCTAAGAGGGGGACAGGAAGGGCTAGCAGCTGTACTGATGCTGAGAGTTGTACAGTTAAACCCAGCAGCTGTGCTGATGCTGAGAGTTGTACAGTTAAACCCAGCTGCAGCTGTGCTGATGCTCAGAGTTGTTCAGGAAGGGCTAGCAGCTGTGCTGATGCTGAGAGTTGTACAGTTAACCCAGCAGTTGTGCTGATGCTCAGAGTTGTTCAGGAAGGACCAGTAGCACTGCTGATGCTAAGAGGGGGACATGAAGGGCTAGCAGCTGTGCTGATGCTGAGAGTTATACAGTTAACACTAGCACCTGTGCTGATGCTGAGAGTTGTACAGTTAACACTAGCAGCTGTGCTGATGCTGAGAGGGGGACAGGCAGAACTGCTAGTTGTGCTGATGCTGAGAGTGAAGCAGGAAGGATTGGCAGCAGTACTGGCGCTGACAGAGAAATATTTAAAGGTAACTTAATAAATCATACGCTGCCCATATTCTAGAAGCTTAAAGAATTCTGGCTTAAAGGAGAATTCAAAGTTAACTTAAATAAATTAGCCAAGCAAAAACTTGGTTTTTATTGTTATGATCTTTGTCTTACAATTTAGAGTATGTTGAATTCGGGTCAGAGGCTGTCAAGAAACTGACTGAAGAACAAAAATTTGTCATGGGAAATAGTTCCAGATGAAACTTCTAAAGAAAAGCGAACGTGCAAAATGGATTACTTAAAATCTAATCCATATCTAAGGTTAATAATATTTTGTTTAGTAGAAAACTGGACAGTTGGTGAATAGTTTTTAATGTGTTAAACTGTAATATTTAATACAGTATACGAAAAAATGCATTGATAACATTTTACCAACTGTCAAGTTTTGTGGGACATTCTGTAGCTAACTGAAAATGTGAGACATTTTTATTTCCATCCTGATCTAGAATATTCTGTATAATAAAGCTCTTCTCTCATATATTTAAATTTATTTCTTTGTTAGCTATAGCCGGCCAAACGACTGGGCCATATGAGCTGAATTTTTTTTAGGAAATCCATGGGTAACCTGGGGGTAAAAACTTCTTTAAAAATCAAACTTTTTTCTTCTTAAAAATTCAAATTTTTTCAGCAGGGTATTTAAAATTTCACAGGCATCGTCAGGCACTTCAGCTAGTTTTATTTATTTCGATCTATATTATTCTTATAATAATAATATTTTTGAGATAACTTGTGTTTAGTTATTTGTTGTGGAAAAATCTTTATACTGCAAAGCATGTGTCCTGCATCTGCCTGAAGAGAAAAAAGAAACCCTTGGAGCCTTTGTTCGGACTGGATTTAACAGATGGAAGCATTTTCATGATATTTTGATATCTCGCAACAAATCTAAATATCACAGACAGGCAGCTGCGGATATGCTTGGGCTGAAAGAAAGATATAGTCAAGACAAGCTTACCATTAAAGAAATCCTATCGTCACAACTTCAGCAGAAATGAGATGAAAATAAGCAAATACTTCTGTGTGAAATTGAGGTAAAATTTTTATTTAATAATATTTAATGTATTCTTTGGATATTGCAAGTTTTATGTTATTTTAACATCAAAATAATCGTCTTTAACATTGATTATTATTCTCAGAAATTTTAAATTGCTATTTTTCATTCTATATACACATAATTATAATTTTTAGTAGTATCACTCTGTTTATTTAAATAACTATGCTTATTTTAAATCTAAAAATTTTTAAAACGGTAAAATTAGATTTAACACAATTTTACTATGTATTATGTGTGCACAACACTTTTCTTCAACAGTTCATCCAATGATCTACTGTGTACATGAACAATAAATTGATGTCAAAATTGTTTGTGCTTTAGGCTCTTCTGTTTCTCGGGAAACGAGGATTTGCTCTTCGAGGACATAAGGATTCTCCCCGTACTTTAGATGAATTATCAAACAATTCTGGTAACTTCCTTGAACTTTTAAAGTTTATCGGAAAGTACAATCCTGTTCTAGAGAAACATCTGACAAACCCATCAAAAAAATGCTAGGGATGGGTTTATAAAGAATATTCTAGAAGCTAAGTTTTTTACAATATCTGTGGATGAAAGTACAACTGGTACAGAGCAAGAAATGTCCCTTGTAGCAATATATGTCCCTTGGAGAAATATATGTCCCTTGTAGCAATATATGTTAACTCTTTTTGTTAGAGTTGACAGAGTAACTGGAGAATACCTGGCCAAAGGAAAAAATATAAATTCATATTTATTTTTCAGAAATTAAACCAAAACTTTTATTGCATATTTCTTAACTTTGATCTAACCTAACAATTTTTCAAATATTTAATTTTTATATTTTAGTTATGATGGTGCTTCCAATATGTCGGGGAAGGAAAAAGGGGTTTTGTATCTCTGATTCTGAATGAAAACCCTTTGGAAATGTATGTGCATTGCTATTCGCACAAGTTAAATTTGGTTATTCAGAGCTTTATGAATATCCCTGAGCTTACTCTAGTTATAATTCTTCTCCTAACAGAACTCGATTGCTTTCAACAGTATTTGAAACGAATGAAACCCAGCCTATAAAAAGAAAAAAGTTCTGATAAATTTCTGTGCAACCCGCTGGTCACAAAGAGATGACACTTTTTAACATTTCTCTGGAGCCTACTTGTACATTGTGAAAGCTCTCAGGATCATTCTTAATCTACTGAAGTCCCCATTGATGGATTAGCCTTTGATGCAAATACATAGGCAGATGCTTTAATCTGCTCCATACTATAGAGAGTTTCTCTTTTAATATAGGGTTCTATACCATACACAAGTACTTTTCACCACAGGCAGCTCCGACTTCAAATCTTCAAGGGAAAGCTCAAGACATTTTGAGTGCACATATGGGGATGAAATCAGTATTAAAGGATTTTGAAAACCTTAGGGAAAATGTCAAGAGTTCGTTTAATCAAGTTTGGAGTCACAGCTCAAGGTTGGCAGAGGCTAAAAACATGGCAGTGAGACAGCATGAAGGACGCCATATTTAATGATCTGGCCCTTATGAACATTCATAGAGACATCCTAGAAACCGTAGAAGCCAAAAAAGTGAGCTTTTATAGACAAAAATCCGAGAAAAATTGAATTATATATATTCAATAGGTTCAGGGTTGATTTATCTTCATTTTTTAACAAAAAATAATTATAAAAATGCATAACAAAGTTGACAGGCTTTCTTTATATTGGAAGATTAGATCTTTATACAACTTTGCAAACTTTACTTTTAATCCTTATGTTTAGTAGTTTACATATAAATAATTTATTTTTTTAAATTTTAATAGGAATGGGCAATTCCAGATTCATTTTACAGAAACTTTTAATGTTTTTAGACTTTTGAAAGGTATTACGACAATATGAGGAGGTTCCAACATTTCAAAGCTTTATTCTGTAGAAGTTTTAATACTTTTAGACTTTTAAAAGATTTACGGGTTCAACGATTTGAAATTGTCTTCTGTAGAAGTTTACTATTATCAAACATGCAAATTTGTTACCCTCAAAGAAAATATAAGACAAAAACGATAGTTTTTGGGTTTTTAAAACGATCGTTTTTAGTTCGTTTTTGCTTTATGTTTTCACCTAGGATAACAAATTTGCATGTTTGATAATAGTAAACTTCTACACAAGACAATTTTAAATCGTTGAACCCGATCTTTTAAAAGTCCAAAAGTATTAAAAGTTTCTGTAAAACGAATCTAGCAATTGCCCATCGCTACATTTAAACCTACAGGGTTAACCACAAAGAATAGGAGTTACGAACAGATTAAAACTCTACAATCTTTAAATCGCATCCTTTGGGGTAACTTGTAACTCATTAGCGGAATGAAAAAATACCCTGAACCTTTTGCAGTTAATATCATAATCTTAAACCATATGTAAAATTATAATTAGTGTAGATTTCTGTTTCCACCTGTCAAGAAAATTTTATTTAGACTAATTAAGATTCAAACATTCGATCTCTAGAAAATCACAATATTTTGAAGATGAAGAATTATAAATGCACAATGTGTACACATTTGTGTACATAATTTGTACTATGTACTACACCCTGAACTAACGAGAGAGAGATGCATTCGGTTTCTTTTATTTGAAATCAAACGTGTTTTCGTCTATAACTCAACAGTCGTCAGACTTACAGATTTGTTTATTTTATACTTTTTCATTCAAAATGTATATGCAAACAAAAAAGTATTTAACATAAAAGGCTATAAAATTATGTAAAAGGGGCCAAATATTGATTTAAAGTCACAGTTTTCTGAAATATTGACAGAACCGTTAAATCCACGTGACTATGCTTTCTTTTCGATCCGCGCTCACCTTCTATTTCAACTGTTAGTTAAGAGTATTTTCTCAATTTTAAACAATGGCAAGAGTATTTTCTCAATTTAAAACAATAGCAATCAAATTTTGCGGATTTATTAAATGATTGTTCCTGGATTTTTTGAGTTATGTAATGGAAATGGAAATCTATTTTTTATACAGTAATATGTCTAAGTGAAAAATTGTTATTGCAGCTCTAAGGTAGAAATATTCTTATAGACTATAAGAGTAATTTTCTGTTATGAGCACTTAAAATACTCACTTCTAATGCTTATTTCTTAAAAAAGGTTTCGAGGGTACTTTTGTTTACATGGAGAGTTACTTGAATGTATAACGCCAGTCCCTTTTAACTGCAATAATTTCAGTTTTAAACAATGTCTGATGGAAGTGGTTTGCAGGAAGGACCTGGATCAGATGGAAGAGCAGAGGAAGGAGGAGAATCTAAAACGAGTTACTTATACAGAGGAAGAGGAAGAATAACAGGAGGAACAAGTAGGGGAAGAGGAAAAAGGGAAAACGATGAAGGAGAATCAAGCAGAGGAGGCGGAGAAAGGGGAAAGGGAAGAGGAGGAATGGATAATAAAGATGGAGGAGAATCAAGTGGAGCAGGTGGAGGAAGGGGAAGAGGAAGAGGATCAAGTGGAAGGGGAATATCATATAGAGAAGACGGAGGAACAACAAGAGAAAGATCAAATGGAGGAGGTGGCGGAACTGGAAGAGGAAAAATCTATAAAGTATCTGAAGAAGGAAGAAGAAAAACAGGAGAAACAGGACAAGGAAGATCAAACGGACGAGGACAAGCAAAGGGAAGGGTAAATCAAAATAAGGGAACAGAAATATCAAATAAAGGAACAAAAGGAAAGAGATCGGATAAAGAAGATAAAGGAATGTCTAGAAGAGACAGTAAAAAGGAAAGAGAAGGGTCGGCTGGAGGACCTGGAGGAAGCATAAGAACATTAGTTGGACGACTTTTGACAGGAAGATTTGACGATGGAGGAGGAATTAAGATAAGTGGAGATGAAGGAGTTCAAAGCAGATTTGATAAAACAGATACGAGAGAAAAAGTTAAAACGAGTTGGCCATTTGAGACCTCCGCTATCGGAGGAAAAGGAGAAATAAGCTCCGCTGTTGGAGGAAAAGGAAAAATAAGCTCCACTGTCGGAGTAAAAGGAGAAATAAGCTCCGCTGATGGAGGAAAAAGAGAAATATGCTTAGCTGTTGGAGAAAAAGGAGAAATGAGCTCTGTTGTCGGAGAAAAAGGAGAAATAAGCTCCGCTGCCGGAGGAAGTACTAAAACTACCAGAAGAGAACTGAAGATTACGAAGAAGATTGTTAAGGTTAGAAATTGCTCATTTTGGATTGCTCATATTTGATAAAAAGGATCAGGGGGGCGGCATTGCATGCCTCTGATCTCCTGTAATTATCAGAAAACAGTGGAATGATTGTCGTCTTCTATCTTTCTTCTGGTTTTAAAATGTCGCCTAAAATGTTATGATTTAACAAAAAAGGTTTAGTTTTTTAAATCTAATTTTTGACAGGATCACCTTGAAACTTATTAAATTTTATGAGAAAAGTAGCTTGAAAGTTTCTTTGAAGTTTTTTTGAAGGCCGATCAGTGTTTCTAAAGTAACTATAATTTTATTTGTTATTTGTGTTACATTTCTTAAATTTACAAAATTGTAAATCCCTTGAATAAACGTACAGGGTTACCCACAAAGGATGAAACTCTGAAGACGACCTGAAACTCTTTAAATTTGACGATTCCAAGGTTAAACAAAATCTTGCATACAATCTTTTAATGACTTATTTAATGATTTAACAAAGAAAGGAAAAGTTTATGGTTGCAGTAATTAATAAATATAAGGTAATATATAAAGGAATTTAATTTTGTACAGTCTCTCTCTGAAGGTTCATCTCTGATCCTTGAGGGTAACAATGTATGTCACAATTATGTGAAAATGGAAAATTTGAAATTTTTCCGTCTTTTTAGTTCTAAATATTGTTCTTGCATTTTTACAAATATTTCCATGGTATTAATTAAATATTGCATGATTCGTTGGGAACCTACATAGTTAAAGAAAGGAAAAGGCTAATATGATTCCATTGTTTGCTGGTCACCACTGTACCATGTCTGCAATGTTTAGGAACCGTATTACAAGCGGGACAGAGTTGTCCGGAAACCGCCGCCAACTACAGAACTGATAGACAAGAGTACAAGCAAGTTTATGGCAGTTTGGAAAAGACGACGTCTCCGCAGGAATTTCATGTGATGTTAAATTTGATTGAAGAAGAATTAAAATCGTCTTCAATCAACGCTGCAAAGGGGGCGAATATATAAGGGGGCCGTGGCATAAGGGGGAGACGAAGAACTAAACCTTCCATTAAATAGATCTTAATGTTGTTCTGTGTAATATAACATTCCTATAAGTATTAATTCCCTTTAACGATAATTTTCTAATCAATAAAATTCGAATGAATATCTCGCCGTTAAAGGGACTGTAACTTTGTTTTAATTGGACCTTGTATTGAATTGGCATGTCCGATTAACAACAGTACCCTTGAAACTTAATTGTCTTATCAAGTTTGACAAATTTGTTTTTGAAAACTTTTTAATTTCATTTGTGTTTCTCTTCAAAAGTGTTTTATGCAATTATTGTTTCAGAAACAATGTCATAATTATCGGAATTAAACACTTTTTCAGTCTAAAAGGGTGCAGACAATATCTCAGACATTATTGAATAGATCAAGGTTTCAAGGACACCTTAAGGTCATGTAAAACTTCGATAACATCCCCTTTAAGTAGTTGAAACCCTAATCCAAACCAACACTTGGATGTTGTATTCACATGGGAAAATGTAGGTATCAATTTAAGGCTAAACGAACCCTACGCCGAAAGAAAAAAACTTACAGGTAGGCCAATAGCTTTTTAAACAGAAGTCCTTGTGAAGTTATTTTTTTAATCTTAAATTCTGAATTGATAAAGTGGTATGTCCGATTAAGAATTCATGAGATATCAATCACTTTCTTATTGAAAGTTGGTTATTATCAATTGTGTCTTCACTATAAGTGACCTGCTTATTTCTGCTTGATAAAAAATATTAAAGAAATATTCAGATTTGAATACTTTTCCAGCGGTAAAAACCACGATATATTTCACATTATTGACCAGATTTAAATACTTGTCCAGCTGTAAAAACGACGATATATTTCACATTATTGCCAGATTTAAATACTTTTCCAGCTGTAAAAACGACGATATGTTATTATTGCCAGATTTAAATACTTTTCCAGCTGTAAAAACGACGATATATTCCACATTATTGCCAGATTTAAAGGGTACCGTTGTGAACTGGACATGTTCCTCTAAATATTTAATTTCATTCAAAATTACAATGACATTTCAGTAATTATGCATTTATCAAATTAGAAAATATTGGTTTAAATTATCAGTATCTAAACGCAGTCTTAACATATTTGAGAAAAATGAATTTGTGGCATGTTTTGTTTGGTTTTGACCTAATCAACTTATTTGAATAGATTTTAGAGGACTTTCCCCCAATTTTTAAATATATTTCTACTTTGTTTTTTTAATTGTTTTCAACTTTACGCTCGTGATGCTTTAGGACCCTACAAGAGTTTGGTTAGCGTTGGCAATGTAATATGGGAATATATATTTTTCATAACAAATACATATTTATCTCTTTACTAAAGAGGGAGGCAATAGGGACGCAACAATTATAGGAGGGAATATAACATTGCCTTAGCTTTCCTTTTGGTCTTGTGTATCCTTGGCAATCTAATATTGCCTTCAATATTTATATCATCCCTATTGCCAACCTGTAATGTATAGATGTTTAATTTTTATATTTTTTTAAGAACTGAGTGGAAGGTGCGGAACAAGTTTGGTATCCGAGAATGTAATTATCAAGTCACAAAATGGAGGTTCATTCTAAACTCAGATCAGGTTAGATATTATTTCAGAAACTTCAAAGCTGTGTAACTTTTTTGTTTTTAATGATATCGTCCAAATTTCAACTGCAATTATTTTTAAAGAATAGCTAGATCTAGAAATAAATACGCTACTTTGCAACTATCGATATTTCTCTGATATAAGTATAAAAAAAACTTTGACCTAGGTTTAAAAAGTAGTACTTTTTTCGTAATTTTTTGTATACATGTTTATTAAGTAGTTATTTATAATTATCAAAATAGTTTACATTGTGTACTTTGTTTATAACAATTCCTAATATCTATTCTGAACAGAATTTTATGATGCATACAACATCATATATTTGTTAAAGAACCCGTTAATTTAGCGACAAACCACTCATACACGTGCAACTTTAGGAACGAGGGGGG